GGGAGGCCCGCTCAACTATGGCGTCATAATCACATTTTACCTTCGGTGTGTTCACCAAAAATCGTGGCAACGCAACCTTAGCACGTGAAGTCAGCAGGATCAAAGACCAGAGCACAGCAGAGGTTGATGTACTTTGCGCATAAGCAAGCGGTCTTCTGCTCACCTGCCGCAATATCAGGTATTGGTAGCCTCGGCAAGCAATTGCCTCGATGCTGGAGGAGGCAATCGCATGAACTGACCGAAACAACAGAAGCAGCCGAAGGTAGCCTGAGCTGCACAGCAAACGGAGCGGAGTACAATTTACTACGTCGATCTTTCGGTCCAAGCCCAACACATGAGAATGTATGCTGCTCGAGCGAAGGGTGAAGGCAGATGCAGCATACTTTGCTCGATGCTGGCACGTCTGTCTGAAGTATGCAAATGAATCATTACATGACCCTAATTGACAAACGGGCAAACGGAAGGCAACTAAAATCTTCACCAACTACACTTTCACGGTCTACACTATTCATGGATACAGTCACGAAGGCTTGTTTATCTATGCGTGAGTAAATGCCTTGCACTATGAGTTGCAACAAGCTACCTTGGATCCCATGACAGTCTGCCTTATCTCCCGCAACTCCAGGCGCTTGCGCCGCAGCTCTCAGGCCGACTGGACTCTGGAAGAGGTCAGTCACATTAAGGGATCTCCCATGATATGTAGTGGGGCTTAACTGTAGCTCACAGTAGCACTCGGATAAGATCTAGAACCCTGTGGTCTATTGGTGTATTGGTAGCATTCTGCTGACAGCCAACCCAATGCGATATAGCGGGAGACATCAATCTAATTCCGTTTGCGAGACGGAAGGCACTTCAGAAACAAGGGTTTCACAGTGTTTCGTTGTTTGTGTCGCTGAGATTCCGGGTTCCCAAGGGTGGATTCGTCCGCCAAGGGGCGCAACTTAGGCAACTCGAGATTTATCGCAGAACTGAATGTTCTTATGATACAATGCTGGGCCGGTAAAGCATTGAAAGTGTGTGTCAGCAACAACGTTGGTGATTAACTTGAAATACTTTACTGCGAAGTAATTGTGCGTTTACTGCGAAAGCTGCCGACCAAGCAGATCAACTCGTTCACTATCGAATTCTTAATAAGACTTCGCTCGCTGCATTAGGCGCTCACCACCTGTTTGAGCCTGCTTTATACTTCATGCCAACACCTCCTAAGATGCAAATGACCTCGTTGAGCTCGTTGTCATGTAGAGGGTACTTCTCTCCCGAAAGGGATGTGAGTAGTAGACTATGGTTTCGTGTTTTTCTCAATTGTTGGCTTGCTGAAAAGTTATTGTTCCAATGGCTGGACCTCCGTCACGAATGCAACAAGGAGAGTGCCAAAATCAGGGAGGGAAATAATTGGAGACTTCTTATGAAGCTGCTAGTAGGGGTGTCCAAATTTTTTGTATAAATGCATATTTGATAACTTTGGTACTACTCACGAATATGTAAAGGGTTGCCCTGCTGTGGGGGTGAAAGCTTTTATTCGCAGCTGCGCCCAGTGAATAATGCGATGCTACCAAGCGTATTGCGTGTCTCGTCTCACAACATACAGTAAGCTGCAAGCCAGCCAAAATAATTAAGATGAGATATCATTTAATGCAACTGGACTCCCTCACAAACCTCCAGGAGTCGTGCTTTCAGCGGCGTAAGTGCCTTCAAATGTGGAAGAAGAGGAGGCCTGCTGTGTTTTACAATGCATCCTCCTGCATCTCGCGATTCAGGACAGCCCCACATGTACCCGCAAACCAGCTATTCTAGTTATATCTGGAAGCAATGTAGGTACTTGTTAAGACGTATTGATTGCACATATTTCCTCCACTAAGGCCAAGTAAGGGTTCATCTGCCCATTCAGCCAGACGTGCCAACACCCACTAGACGGTTCTACGTATAACCAACTTAGACTGCCCCGACAACCATTTACGTGTAACAATTCGAAGGAAACACAAAGCGTGCACTTGGGGACTTAGGTGAGGTCTAAACGTCCTGTGAATGTACTCCAAATACGTTCAGCTCGTTCTCTATCGACCAATACTTCAAACAGGTAGCGTAGCGAACGAAGATCTAGGCCAGCGGAGTTTGTAGTCAAGCACGTAAAACAGCACAACCAACTAAGACGTTTGTCGGAACTAGAGAAGCCTCAGGAACTAACTGTTTGGGAATATATATTGCTAGGTTGTTGTTTTCACAGTGGAGCTACCAGCCAACAATGGTTGCACTCAAGAGCAGCCAGTGCTACCTTCCAATTGATGAAAGTGTAGGCCCCATTACCGAGGATGCTTTCGTAACTGACGCATCTAGACGCTCACGTCCTGATACCAATTTCCCTCACAGAAATGGTATTTCCATGGACGGTTACGTTTCCCATAGACGGACAGTCACAGCACCTCACACCCAAGCAGTGCGAAGTGTAAAATCACGAGAATCCGAAAGACAACGCAGATGCCCGTGCAAATGTTTTTTTACTTGAATTGGCACATAAAAACGGCTTTTGAAGCAGCGCATTTTAAACAGCGACAGCAGCAGCAAAATTGCCGCTGGCCGCCCCAGCCGCAGCGAGCAGCGGTGCAGCAGCAACTGCAGCCTTGGCGTCTGAGACTACAGCGAAATTGGCAGAGTCCGGCATTCTACGCCTTTGGGTGAGAAGTCGTTTGGCTCTCTATAGAAGCAAAGGTAGGCTTCCTATGCGGGGCCTTCCGTGTCGTTTCCTAACAGCTGCAGCTGTAGCGGCTGCTCCGTGGCCGTTTTACCTTTCTGGAGCCTCGGGGCTTCTGTTCTCTTCATTTCGTGAGCTTCCCATTACCATCGAGATTGTACTTCTTGAGGTGAAGTGAGAGGTCGAGTCAGAGGGGTTGCGGGGACGTGTAGTCCTGCTGGCGGCTGCTGCCCGGTGGGCTGCGTCGCTTGGACGGCGGGGCGCCCTCCTCGTTTGCTGCGGAGGCAGCAAGAGCAAAAGCAATTCAGCCAACGATATCCAGCCACCCGGGAGGTAGAACAGCAGTTTCAGTCGGCCGGTGCGGCCTCCCCTCACTGTGGGAGCAACGCGCACGCCGATACGGCTGACGGGGGGTGTAGCTGAAGCATCAGCAAGGTCATTCACCAGACTGAAGAAGAGCTAGCAGACACTGGTTGGTGAGGTTTGCGCTCTTTAGCCCGAAGGCCGTCCTCCTTATTACCTCCTTTATGGTTTCCTAGGGGTTGCTCCTTAGCTGGCGTGTTTGGTTTGAGCATCGCCCGTGAAGCTCCTGTTTGGAAGTAAGGTGGAGGTGCTGGATTTCTTCTGTACCCAATCAAAAGGACCCTAAACTTGGTGGCGATAGCGGTGCCAACCCGTTGCGCCAACATCCGACCCTTAGCTGGTGGCCTCTCACTTCTTCCGGCGGAAGATGGCCAGCGGCCGTGCACCTGGCCCCCAGGGAGAGCCCCGTGGCGCTGTTCTTTAGGAATCCGCTCCTTGAGTCAGTGGGGCATAGGCGGTGAACAGACGTTGAGAAGAAGACCGCGGAGCCGCTGCTGGCTCTGCGAAAAATGGTTGGCGCGACTGTGTAGCCCCCGAAGTCCCAAGCGGAATTAGTTCACCTGGAGGTGCTTTTGCTTCGCTCCAGACTGGCTAAAGCAACGGATAGAAGAGGTCGTGGCCACATCACGGATTTAGCGAAGAGGGCGTGGTAATTGTGCCTTTCTGCGGTGCATGGGTAGTGTGGCGGTTGGACGTGCACATAGCTCACCCTGTTTCAGTGGCTTTCTCCCAGTGAAAAGCCCGTTGGTATTCACACCCGCTTAGATAACTTCACTTCTTCTTCTTTATCCGTTGTGGTTGATAACTTGGCCCAGGGGTACACGGAGACACTTCCTCAATCTGGACTCCTTGTGTTTTTCGGTGTGCACGTCATAGGCGACGTGGATCGTTCGGTTCTGCGAGCAACTGGCTTCTACTGTTGCTGCATTCTTTTTTTCGCTCGCCCCAATCCATACCCTTCTCTGGTTCGATAGCACTCAGCAACAGTCAGCAGCGCTGGTGACTTTCATTTGCAACAGTTACTCCAGGTCTTGGCTTCCGTACATTGCAAGATGGCTCAGCAAAGCGAGTCACTGCATCCAGAGATGCAGGATAGCCTCAATCTGGGGGAAGGGCCAATAGAGGTGGACGTGGCTCCTGTTGGACAGCTCCCTGGCCTTGCTGCGGATGGGGGAGCTCTAAGCGGCGTTACCATCAATGAGGTTGACGAAGCAGAAATGGCGCGTATTACTGCAGCTGCTGGTCAGCCAGAAATTCTGGATGATTTAGTGCCCCCAGCGCCTCTAGGCACTGTAACGGTGCAGCAGGTGCCTGCGTCAAGGGCGGCTGCAGCAGCTGCTGCGGCGGCTCAGCAGCAGGTAGCGGCGTTGCAGCAGCAGCAGTTGCAGCAGCAGCAGTTGCAGCAGCAGCAGGCTGTTGCCGCTGCAGCACAGCACTTGAGACAGCAACAGCAGCAGCATGGAAGTGCTACTTTGGCGGCGACTTCGGGGGCAGCCCCGCGTGCGGTGCCTGCAGTACAGAATGAACGGTGGCGTTTGTACTTGCCCCACGTGGAGAGGTTGCTCGACGCGGAGGGTATTTTATTGTTGCGGCAGACATGCCGCCTGCTCTGTAAGCATAAGTATCGGCCTGCGGATGGAGTATTGTCCTTCGGTATGTTCCGGGGGGTTGACGCTCGTGTCTTGATGGAACAGGTGGTGCCGTTGGCTTGCAAAGCTGTGCACCCTGAGGTACGGGCTGCGGGACTTTCTCTGGACTTCAGCGGCTGCTCCCTCCTGAAAGATGCATCTGTAGCCCGCCTGATGGACGTTTTGCACGGCAGAAAGGAAGACAACATTATCGGCGGAGTGCTAAAGAGCCTTTGTCTCGATTTCTGCTATGAAGTGACAAATAAGGGCTTGGCTGCACTGCTGACAACGCACCTGCCTTATTTAGAACGTCTTTCGCTCCGGTGTGCAAGGAGTAATGAGCTAACCTTCACAAACGTGGCCACGGATTTTTCGGCAGACAACTGGCCCAACTTGCTCCACTTCGACGCATCGTTTACTAACATGAGGCTTGATGCAGCTACGGTCTTGGCCGATTATCTCGTGGGGAATGCAACAGCAGTTAACAAGCGACACAGGAAGGACTACGAGAGAAAGCTTCAGGAGGAGAAGCAACTGCGTCGGCTGCTACATCAGCAGGAAAAGGAACACATTCAGCATATGGAACAAGCTAGGTGCCTGAAAGAGCAGCATGCTGCAGTTGCGGAGAGGCTGCAGGAGCAGCAAGCGCTGTTAGAAGAAAAAGAAAAGGCATTGGAAAATCAGCTGCAACTCGAACCGATTCAAGTTGACGGCGAAGTTCCGAGCGATCAGGCAGAGGATCCTGAGCAGTGCGCTGTGCGGGCACAGAGGGAGCTTGTGCTGCGCCTGCAGCAACAGTTAGAGTCACTTGCGGCGGCAGTTGCAGCAGGGGAGGGAGCCGCAGTTGCGTGTCAAACCGCTATCGAGCACACAACAGCAGCTGCGGATGCCGCAGGACTCGCTGCAGCTGAAAGCCTCGCAGCTGCTGAGGAGGAGGAAAAACATCCTGTTGTGGCATCTCTTGAAATCGTGGGCTCTCTCGCATCCAAATGCCTTCTTTCAAAGGTTGGCATGGAGACGCATTACCGCTCTTTCTGTCATGCAGTGAAGCTGGGTCTTCATGATCAGATATCATCGCTGACGAAGGTTGTGCAGAAAGAGGTGGGGGACACCGACACAGTGCACTCCAGTTGCAGACCGTTGGCGTGCGGACCCAGCAAGTTCACACCCAGAACTGGCCACTGAGCACATACACATTTAAGGGTCTCCAACCATGCGGCTGTAAAGGGGCGTGAGCGCTCTTGTATCTGTACGTGATTTACTTCGCCTGTTCCCTTGTATTTGCATTCTTTCTCTGCAGTTCACGGAATTGTGTGCCTCGGCTCCTTACCGGGGCAGCTCACTGCTGACACTTCAAGCAAAGCGTGGCAGCGAGTTGCTGGTCAATGCACCGTTTGTTGTGGACACGTCAGAAGATGGGGGCGTCAACGTGCTTACGCTTCCTGTCTCGATCGCTATACAGACTCAGGACCAAGAGACTTTGAAAGTGGTACGCTGCGGGTGAACTGATGTCAAGAGGTGAATGGGTTGTTTCCCTGTGGAGTTAGTGAACATGTTATTTGCGTGCTTGTATTTGCGGTCATATGTATGTATGTGTCGCTTTCTATTACGCTTTACTTTGGCAATGGCTCTAGCATTTTCCTACGGTTTTTGTTCTATTGGCTGCAGCTGATCAAAAGGGGAGCTCAAATCGACGTCTGTGACTATTTGGGGAAATCGCCTCTCCTGCGGGCTTGTGAAGCTTCCCGACTAGACCTTGTGGAGGCTCTTCTTGACCTAGGGGTTTCGCCGAATCCCCATGACCTCCGCTGTGCCCACTTCCCCTTGCAAACGGCAATACGGCGCAATGACGCAGAGATAGTCAAGGTGAAAATTGTCTTGTGTAGTGCCGTTTGGTCACTGCTCAGCCACTGCACTAAGTGTAAAAACTAAGCGTGCCATGCATGCAAAGCCACTTTTGGTGGATGGGCCGTTGTCCGTTGGCTGCCGATTCGCGCATTCAACTAAGCAGGCTGGTCTTTTTTTTATTGTTGTGGTGTGGTCCTCCGCAGCGCCTGCTTGCTCGAGGTGCGGCACTAGATGTGAAGTGCCCAGGAGTACGCACATACAAGAGCGCTCTCTGCGTAGCATGCGAGGTCAATTCGCCAGAGATAATCAGTATCATCTTGAAAGCTGGAGGGGACCCAAACTCGCGGGGCCACAATTCGTACACTCCAACATTGGTAAGCTCACTTGTCCGTAGCAGCCCATTTCTTCGTAAATTTTCCTCCGCCGGCACTTCTTTCAATCCCGCCAGACCTGGTGTTGCTTCTTTTTTCTTCACAGATGGCATATCAGTTGAACCCGAAGTGGCTACCTCTCTTTTTGGAAGCTGGTGCAGGCGCTGAGAAGGGGAAAAGATGGGTACTAACGGGTGAGCGAAAAGAACACGACCAGCGTTGTATAGTAAATCACTGAACACCGGGCGATCGCAGTTGCAGTTTGCATGCTCACACCTAGACTATGGAGTCACTAATTTGTTGTCTGGGTGTTGTGGATGCAGACGTGCTGAGTTGTGCTGTGGCGAAAAATGACGTTGATAGCATCGGATTGTTGATTGACAAGTATCCAGACCTAATGAACCGTACCCATCCACTGTGGTCCAAGCCACTGCTGCAGGTGAGAGAAATGATGGTTTGCAGGGTTCGTTGTTTTTCTCTGGGACCGTTTTGAGGTCAGCTCACCAATCCTCGGCTTCCTTTGCGCTTATTCACAGGCAGCAAAACAAGGTCGTGTCCAGGTACTGGAGCTGCTGCTCGCTAGTGGATGCAATGTGGATGCACGGGGTGAGGGTGGCCAGACCGCCCTACTGGCTGCAACGGAGGAAGGGCTAGGGAGTTGTGTTGAGCGGTTGATTGACCACGGAGCAGATGTCAACAAGGCCAACTTTGAAGGTAACGCTAGTGCAGCTCACTTTAACACGTTACTCTTTAGTGTCCGATGCCAGCAGCAGAGGTAAAGTTATCCATGCCATGTGGGTGTAGTACATATTCGAGCCCACTAGTGACTTATGGCTTGCGCTTCAGGGATGACTCCGCTGATTGTAGCATGCATGGAAAACCACGAAGACATGGTAAATTATTTCTTGGACCATACGCAAGAGCCATACGGAGTGAAGGTGCATCCCAACAGCCTTCAGCAGCAGCCGCATTTGCAGGTGGTGGAAAATGCTCAAGGGGAGAGGGCGTGCGAAGGTAGATGGATCCTCGCAACACAGACTCAAGTCCTTGATTGCAACAAAGCGGAGAAAACTGAGGGAGAGACCCCTTTGCTCGTTTGCATTCGGTTGAGAAACGATAAGATTGCCAAAACGATTTTAAAGAAAGCCAAGTCAATCGATCTGGAAGCGAAGGTTAGTATGCATTCGACTTAGAAGTGGAGCTCGGTAGGATAGGTTTATTCGCTTCCTATTACAAGAGAGGTATCTACTGTAGTCCTGTTTCGGAAAAGTAGCTGTTGAGTGGGCCGTGCTTGTTTACGGTGCAGGACTCCCAAGGGCGCACTGCCTTACTCGCTGCTCTGTTTTTTGGCCAGTATTCTGTGGCTGCAACGTTGATGGAAATGGGGGCAGATGTCATGACTCAAGATGATGCTGGGAACACAGCACTTGCCATTGCGAATGAGCGGTAAGTATGGTCACCTGCTTACATGTGTAGAACGCAAGGTTAGGGGCTGCTCGCTTCTAGCTTTGCCCGTGTGCTTTCACCAGATTGATCAGAAGGGACAAAACCACCGACTGCTGCATGGCCGCTCTTTTTTTGTATAGGTTGCTGACGCCGGGAAGCGACAAACGCGTTTTGCGCCGATTCCTGCGTCTGTACCGGAGCCGTGACACGTCGCGACGCCATGCATCTTCAAGTGGTATGTTACAGTCGATGTTGAGTGCGCTGCGGGATGAAGGCGGGAGCAGTTCTCACGTGGAGTCTGACTCTGGGAGCGGAGGCGAGGGCGCTCGCTTTTTCCGGAAAAAGAGCGTGAGCCGCAGCAGTAGCAGAGGCAAGCAGAATGGGCTCGAGGGGTCGGATCCGAGAGCCTCAAGGAGTGATGGAGAGGTTCATGGCGCATCGACAACTGGCCACAGTCGGGGTGCCGCCGCGAGTCCGTCGAGCAGCAGCAGGAAGCGCTCTGGAAAGAAGCTTAAGATTGAGCCGAAGACAGTTCTGCAAGTTGCGAAGCTGCCAATGTCCCTCTTTCGAGCGGCCAAGGCAAAATGACCTGTCGCCGCTCACCGTAGAAAGGCTCTCATATTTGTGTTGCACGGGGAAAAGCCGTGCAGGTATTTTGAAAACAACCGGTCCTCCACGTGTCTACGTGGGGCCTCGTGGAATCGCGTTCATCATCCAGATGTGCAGTGTAGCGCGCCACCGTAGAGGAGATTGTTAATAAGCAGGGCATGTCGAGGCGCACCCCAGGGCGCAGGCAGCTACGACTCGTGTTGTGAGAGGACCGCTCTGTGGCAGCACGTAGTTGTGGGACGGCATGTACTAAGCTAGAGGGATGTGTGACGTTCTTTCGAAGGATGCTCTGCTACTTGCATGGTAGTGTGCGATGTAGACTTTGGTTCCGGCTGGCCGTGAGAAATGCGAAATACGGTTAGAGCATATCCTATGCCGCCCACCTAATATTCAAATCCCTTGTCCTGCACGCTGCACAGTGGCGCGGCGACTGGCCAAAGCCACAGGGAATTCTGGACCCCTTGCGGTGGCGAGCGACGCAATAGCACGATAGCACGGTGAACGATGAATTCAGATGACAAGTCATTATTTCATAGCGGTGCAGGCTAAATGTGTTTCAGTCTAAGTGTAGAGCTTGTTACCATGCTCGCTTAATTTGTGTGCCGTTGACAGCTGGTTGGTTCGAAAGCGACGCCACGAATGTTGGATACACAGAGAACTGCCGAGGCTTTTCCTGACCCCAACACTTGTATTTTCGTCATCTAGTGGGCAGATCTGATGGTGTGACTGTTCCATCGTCGACTGATTTTGCCACTGTATAGAGTTGAAACAGGTATTGTATGGGGACGACTGTCTAGCTGATGCTCCAGGTAGGGGTACGAACGGACTAGTTTGACGAGAACAGGCAGACAGGCAGGGATTGTGTGCACAGCACAGTAAAGCAAAAAGTTTGAATAGTTCAAATTCGTAGGATTAGCTTAACGTCGCGCCTCGAGGGACCACCTACGAGGGGAGGTGGAAAAGACGCCAGTAGTCCTGATGCTGTAGTAGTCACATTGTAGGGGAAGAAATACGCCCACTGAATGCACCAGTGAAGAGCTTGCTTGGGGCCAATTGTGCCAAATTATATGACGCCCTGTCGTCCTCTGGAGGTAGTCACTTCAGCCAATTGAAATAAAAAAACAATTAGTCATGTGGTCTACGAAATACGATAAATATGAATACTAACAGCGCGATTGTGAAGCCTTTCGGTAATTACACTCGGGAGTTAGTGCATCAACTTGCAGTTGTCATCGCTCTGACAGCAACCTGCGGGAAAAAGGGATTCACCCCTAATTTTTGTGTCCCCTTCTAAAGCGCTTCCTTGATAACTTCACACACCCGCACCCACCACACAAAAAGGAAATGCGCGTTGTAATGATGAGCGGCAAGGACTGACCTCTCGCAGAATGCCTGGTAATCAATCTCGTCACTAGACGTCCCCAGCACTGCATCTATTTCGTCGCTTGTTAATACCTCTCCACAATTCTGTAGGATGTTTCTTGCGACTCGCAAGGGCACCTTGCCAGTGCACGAAGGATCATAGCACCCGAACAATTCTGCCAGGAGCCTTGGGTTGTCACTGCAGTGCGCCACCTAAACGCAACATCGATTGTCCTAACCACATAGTTATGCAGATAAAATCTCAGCTGTGGAAGCCATCTGGTGGTGTAGAGACAAAGTTCGTGAGATGTGATGTGTTTGGTTACTTCTTTGCAGAATGTTGCAAATGTGGACATGTCACAGTACTCTCCTGCTACTGCTTTTAGTTCCTCGATTTCCCCAAGTGAAGGCGCCAGTCCCTGAGACAACATGCCGCGGCGGATAAAATTCTAATAAGCAGCTACAGATGTCTACGACCCCAAGCCTGTCATCCCAAGGAAAATGCTTGTCTTGCAGCAGGGCAGCGTCGATCAAAAATACTGCCCGCTCATAGTAGGGAAAGATGCGAGGGGAAACAAAAGTCACGTAAGTGCCTATCACGGCTAAAGATTCAGCACCCACCAACCGTCTAGCCAAGTCCCCCGCCTTCGCCGTCAGAATTAAGCCGCCACCACCCTGAATGCAATACAAGCACGAGGAAGTGTTCTAGTCTGCACTCGTGCTTAGACAAGTTCAAAAGCTGAACGAAGATTGATTTCTCGGCACGTAATCGACATACTGAGACGTCCTTGAATGCTGCAATGAGTTGTTTGCTGCTGATGGCTCTGAACGGTCGCTGAGGAAAACGCACGCAGCCCGAGAAAAGGAGTTATTGGGGTAATCACCCCATCAGCAACTGGAAACCCATTATTAACTGTTTCCAAACAATATTTGTTTGGGTTTCAAGTCGTACAGAGGAAGCGGGAAGGGCAGCGGGTCCCCCAAGGAGACCCCTTTGTCTCAATTGACTCTCCATCCTACTGTTGGAGGAAGGCAGGCACCACAGGGCAGCATTGAGTGGTCTCACATGTCAAACATATAGAAATCACGAGATTCCAGTGGTTTAAGGAGATGTACCTCTGGAGTAGAGGCGTTAACAGGCCTGCGTGCATGCATTGCATGGGCGTAAATGAGTCCATCCAGCTATGAGGGGCTGGTAGAAGCCAACTTACACCGCAGAATGTAGATAAGAGGCACGAATATGCAGTCAAATGAATGTGAGAATGAGGACAATAAGACTTTAACAGCAAGTGTCCTGTGTCTCACACAAACACTTACAGGACACTTGCTGTTAAAGTCTTATTGTCGAGACGCCCTAGATGTGAGTCCTGTTGCCGTCATTGACAGTTTGGTGCCTCTAGCTTTGAGCATTGACCATCAGCATTCTTTTACAAATGTCAATAAATGGAAATTCCTCCAGGAGGGTTCTGAAGCGTATTAGTATTCTTTGCATATATTCAACAGTCCTCTCACTTCTACAGAGATGCGAGCGGTTTCAGAGACCAACGTAACAGAAGTGTAAGATCAGGATTACAGGATGGATACTGCAGCAGAAACAGGTGGTTTGGAAGAAACGGTTGCCAATGAGGAGGGGGCACAACAAATCTATATCCGGTTCTCCGTCAAAACCGTTGCAACCGCCAGACGCGAGCTTTCGCAAAGAAAGTGTGTCCGTGGTTCTCGTGATTGTGGTTTTTGGCAGCATACAGCGTGGTTAGCATTAACCACAGCGTATGACTATGTCTCGCGCAACTGTAGCACTTGGTTCTGTGTCTTATCCCGCGATTAATGTGACCTGAGCAGTATTCCAGTAAATGCAATTAATCTCCTTCTGAGTCTCCAAGTGTTCTGAGAGGTGCAAAGCAAGCACATGGAGCTGGGGGGGATTTGGGAGTCTGCCATGAGATCCAATGCACCTTGCCGCAACTCATAGTGCAAGGCATTTACTTATACGTAGATAAACAAGCCTTCGTGACTGTATCCATGAATAGTGTAGACCGTGAAAGTGTAGTTGGTGAAGATTTTAGTTGCCTTCCGTTTGCCCGTTTGTCAATTAGGGTCATGTAATGATTCATTTGCATACTTCAGACAGACGTGCCAGCATCGAGCAAAGTATGCTGCATCTGCCTTCACCCTTCGCTCGAGCAGCATACATTCTCATGTGTTGGGCTTGGACCGAAAAACCGACGTATTAAATTGTACTCCGCTCCGTTTGCTGTGCAGCTCAGGCTACCTTCGGCTGCTTCTGTTGTTTCGGTCAGTTCATGCGATTGCCTCCTCCAGCATCGAGGCAATTGCTTGCCGAGGCTACCAATACCTGATATTGCGGCAGGTGAGCAGAAGACCGCTTGCTTATGCGCAAAGTACATCAACCTCTGCTGTGCTCTGGTCTTTGATCCTGCTGACTTCACGTGCTAAGGTTGCGTTGCCACGATTTTTGGTGAACACACCGAAGGTAAAATGTGATTATGACGCCATAGTTGAGCGGGCCTCCCTTCTTTTGTCGGTAGTGAACGACGTCCTAGGCTCTCCCAACAAGAAGGAGTGGCTTATGCAGGATTGAAAGAATTGTTATACTATGGTAACTGTATCACAGCATATGAATGGTTGGGACGTCAAAGCACGCATACTTGAAATTATTGAGGCTTTCTGGGTTGAGGAGCAGCAACGATTACCGGGTAATTACATAGGCTCTCCCAACAAGAAGGAGTGGCTTATGCAGGATTGAAAGAATTGTTATACTATGGCAACTGTATCACAGCATATGAATGGTTGGGACGTCAAAGCACGCATACTTGAAATTATTGAGGCTTTCTGGGTTGAGGAGCAGCAACGATTACCGGGTAATTACACGAGCCCCAACCTTAAGCTGCACTTCATACCCCGGTGGTAGCAGTAGTTGCCGACGGAGCAGGGATGGCATTATAAATGTTCACGAGGACTAACTTCCAGAAATGATCCCCAGAATATCATTCGCCTTGACGCTCCCCTTTCCCTTTAACGTAATATTATGGCTTTTCCTGACCTCTACGGATTGTTTTGATGGTTTTAACATTCTACATGTGTGACTTATACTTGAAATTATTGAGGCTTTCTGGGTTGAGGAGCAGCAACGATTACCGGGTAATTACGCGAGCCCCAACCTTAAGCTGCACTTCTTACCCCGGTGGTAGCAGTAGTTGCCGACGGAGCAGGGATGGCATTATAATGTTCACGAGGACTAACTTCCAGAAACGATCCCCAGAATATCATTCGCCTTGACGCTCCCCTTTCCCTTTAACGTAATATTATGGCTTTTCCTGACCTCTACGGATTGTTTTGATGGTTTTAACATTCTACATGTGTGACTTCCCACAGTGTACTTGTTGGCTCTTTGCGGGTGAACTTCGACAGTGATATTTTGGTTGCTCCCTGAGCTGTTCTAGAAAACCATCACTAGTCGTACGATGAGACCTATAGGTTGAGGGTAAGCTGACAATATAAGCCAGCACACTGACTCGGGAATGAACAGCAGAAGGTTCTACGAAGCATAGAGTATCATCAAGGGAATTCCTTGTGCCCTTTGAACCTCCTGGTCG